CAACAAACAAGCTAAACTGAGGTCCGAGGACCTCAGTGATGAGAGAATGTGTAGCGCCGAGCTAATACATATAAGATAATGTAGCATCGGCACTAAAGCTAACAGGCTAATCTGAGGTTGTTCTTCCATGAAGCAGCTCTGTTGTCCTCCATCCATATTTTCAGTTCCAGGCTGAGTCATTTCTACCTTCTCCTCTCTGTCAACGCTCTCTGGTTTCATTTAAAGGAGTCGATCATCAGATATTGTCCAAGATTAACCTTCAGGGTGGATATAACTCGCTCACACCGAGGACCTATCCATGTCATAATTTACCCAGAATGCTTTGTGCGTAAATACAATGGCTCAGTCCATGTTAAAATAGAATTTTAAAAATTATAAAAACTAAAGAGCCTACAGTATTTTTCCAGTCTTTATTTTACAGTTAAAATAAATGTTTATCAAATAAAGTCTAATGTTACAACTAATCAGGGRTCCCTTTAAGCAGGATTTTACACAGATATTCCAGGCCACGTGTCAGGCATTCACCGAGTGTTCACGTCTACAGGTGAGAAAAACAGAGGAAACTTTACGGTTCACATACGACTGAGGTCGTTTGGATCTTTTATGAGGAGAGTTAGATGTTATAGGAGGTTAAATGTGGTTCAGTTCATTATTCTTATTTAAAACGTAAATACTCACTCATGAAAACATTGTGTTTAAATACTGTAAACTGAATGAAGTCATACGTCAGTGTATTTAGGTGATTTAGTACTTTTTTAGTTTCATGTCACTGACAGAAGAAGTTTGCGAGGAGGTGAACACACACTCAGCCAGTGAAATGTTTGTGTTTTTACACACATCCATGATTTAGATACAGCCCATGTTGAAACTGGCTCAGGCACTGATGATACAAGACCCCCACACAACTTTTTATCATGTCCTGATATGTAAAACTCAGACCAGACAGTGAGTGAACTCTACACAGCTCCTGTGTAGAAACCTGCTGGTGACCCTGTTGTGGAGCAGAAGAAAACAAATAAACCTCAGTCAGTTCATGAGGAATCTGCTTTTGGTTGCAGCTAAGCTGAAGTGAGCCAGGCTAAGCTTTTCCAAACTGAGGTCTGTCCCTGTTTGGTCTCATCAGGTTGTATTAACCCGCTGCTCCACTGACTCTGACACCTGAAGGCAGTGGAGGACAAACTAAAGCTCCGGTGGGAACTGTGCCGTGTTAAGGCAGAAAAAAACACAAAGAGCCCGGRCGACCAAGTCTCTTAGAGGCTAGAGAAAATGTTTCTGTAACTCAGGACTCGTTTAATCACTTTGTATTTCAGCCTGACTGCATTTGAACATAACTCGTGTTGGAAACAATAAGCAGTTAACGAGTGTAAATGTGTTAAAAAGACATCATAAGTTATTTTACTGCTTTTTTAAGGTGGTAAAAAAAACAAACAGGAAATCGGTTAAAGTGATTAAAAGAACAGCATCAGACTGAAATTTCACTTTCACAGATGAACTCATTAGGCTGCAGTTTGATGAAAAATAACTGATCAAAGTGTTTCCCCTGTGATACCTTGTTGATACAAAAAGCATTAATGTGGGTTAATACCTGCTTTAAAGCTGAGCTCGTCCGACTCCTGACCCGTGTAATCATAGAGCGCTCTGACCGGCACCCCCTCTACCTTCTCGTCTGCCTCCCCCACACCGTTCATCGCCAGCGCCTTCTTAGGACTCTCCTCGTCTGACCAGTCGGAGGAATAATCCTTCACCCTGAAGTCAAGACAACAAACATACAGAGTTCAAATTCTCACTTCATTACCATCAAATGCATGAAACTAAAACTAAAAAAACAAACAAGAAATTTTCCACAGTTTTTCCAGAATAAAGAGCACATCAAACATTCAGAGTTCCTCAGCTGTGTTTGAAGTAGGGAYGGGATCGATCCGATCCAGTATCAGGTTCTGATACCAACATAATTATTTCATTTATTTATTTAAAAGGAAAATGCACATTAATCAATTTTCTGTCAATATAAATGTGCCAGAATTAGCACAACAGCTAAATTTCATCCRTATTGCTGAGCAGATAAAAAGGTAACAGTTCATAAAACAAGCGCACAAAACAAACAAAATTCAACACTGCCCAACAAACACACAAACTCCTCAGTCTACAAGGTCTACAGTTAAATTATGTTACAGATGAATGCATGACTGATTTTCTTTCAGCCAAACTTTGTTTCTTTTTAAAAATGGAATAACTGTCAGTCTCTGATATTTGCAGGTAGTTCATTCCAGATGAGAGTTCCTCTGATAGACGTGACCTTTCCACCAAACTCCGTTCTCCGTCTTGTGACAACACAGCCCCCTATAGTTTGACACCTAGAATTCATTCTGGATGTTTATTTATGAATAAAATTATTTAAAGGTGGAGGAGCATGCCCATTTAAGACCCTAAAAACAAGACTTAAATCAATGAATCTTTGATAAATACAAGATCTTGGACTTCAAAAATGATCAATGATTTTACAGTAATGAACATAAAGTTGTCTGTCAAGAACTTTTATTGTCTTTTTGAAGAGAGACTTGATGGGTTTTAACACATTTGCTGTTGTATGGGACCAAGCTGTAAGACAATAAGAAATATGAGAAAAGATCATTGCATGCATATAAAATTTAGCTGCTTGTGTAGTGAGAAAARGTCCAATATGACAAAAATTGGCTAAGTTGAATTTTAATACATTAGTTAATTAATGACTCGCTACATTACCAGATCTCCATTTACCGGTCGGTCTACGTTCCTACCCTCATCTATGGAGCTTTGGGGAGTGACTGAAAGAACGAGATCACAGATACAAGCGGCTGAAATGAGTTTCCTCTGCAGGGTGTCTGGGCTCTCCCTTAGAGATAGGGTGAGAAGCTCAGTCATCCAGGAGGGACTCAGAGTAGAGCCGCTGCTCCTCCTCATCGAGAGGAGCCAGTTGAGGTGGCTCATCTGGTTAGGATGCCTCCTGGACTCCTCCCTGGTGAGGTGTTCCAGGCACGTCCCACWGGGAGGAGACCCAGAGGAAGACCCAGGACAAGCTGGAGGGACTATGTTTCTCAGCTGGTCTGGGAACACCTTGGGATTCCCCCGGATGAGCTGGTCCAAGTGGCTGGGGAGAGGGAAGTCTGGGTCTCTCTGCTTAGGCTGCTGCCCCCGAGACCCAACCCCGGATAAGAGGAAGAAAACGGATGGATTCATAAGTTTTTCATRTGGAATCTTCCTGTATCCATCCTGACTTGTACTTTTCTATTATCGTTTTGTTGAATGAAGTCAGCCACTTCAAAGCTAGAATCTGAAGTGGGTRGATCACCGACAGAAAGACCAACTCTGCACTCGTCAACCTGAGCAGGTCCGTCGGGCCTGTAGGAAAAGTTCACACTGCTCCAGACTTAATCATTACAGGACTATCCAAAGCTTGTAACATAATTATTTATAAACTTCCTGCAGAACCACGCTTCAAAATGTTCAAACTAGTCATTTACAAAGATTTTTCTCTTTTTACTTGGTACTACAATCCCTATACTCTGATTTAATGTGGCACACTTTGCCCCACAGTTCTGTTTAAAAATGAACAAGACCTACTGTATAAAGCCAAATATACAAATCTTTAATGTGTCAACAGAAAAAGTTGTTTGGRAGGTTTATAAAAGGAGTATTTCCAGACATTGGAGCCGTTCTGAAGCTCGAGGAACAAAAGGGGAGTATAGAGTTAAACTTTACAGACTGAAAAAACAGACTTTACCCTAAAACACTTTTAAGTACTTTCCACAGATCCATCCAAAATAGAGAAAACGACTGCAAAACACAGATTTAGTTTTCATTTCTAAACGGTGCAGAGTAACATTTCAACACTCAGCGCTGGTGAATGGTTTCTTTCCTTCCCTCCTCTGGCTGAAGATCCAGAGTCTTGTGTTGACATTAGCACCCGTTTGGAGCCGACGTGATGGGATTAAATCAGAACAAAGAGCGAGTCGCTGTAGCGGCCAGAATTATTTAGAGACACCAGTAAGAAGATAAAGCACTAGATTTAAAAGCGTACTAAGCATCTACTGTTTGCAAACGTCCTCCTCCACTGCCACACTGAGAACATTGAGGCTGGGAAGAATTACAGATTAAAGCAATAAGTACAAGATCTAAAAAGTAATCTGGCTTWTTTCTTTCCTCTGAGTGCAGATATGTCCAGATAAACTTGTTGTTGAATAACTAATGTCAAAATATACAAAATAAAATATATTTCATATAAAAAMAATTACCAACAGATCATTTGTTCTGTACAAATCCAACAATCACACTAATACGTCATGGCAGATTGATTAGACTAGACACAGATTGTAGTGTGAAGAGCTTTGAGTATCCTGGTTGGATAGAAAGGTGCTGGTGCATGGCAGGCTGTGTCAGTGTGCCTCAGGGCAGCTGTGGCTACAATGTAGCTTACCACCACCAGTGTGTTTAAAGCACTTGTCTTGATAAAGTGCTATACAAGTTCAGCCCATTTACCTTTTTTTGGTGTTTTCTGAATAAATAATCCCAATAAAAACATTTCAATCCTTTTATATTTAGCTTCTTATGAGCAAAAGTTTTGGATGTTTTKAAATGGTCTTAATAGTTCTCCAGGCTTCTGAAAGGTCTTTTTTGGACTGTGGCTGCTTTTTAATTCTCAGTTTAGGTCCTAAACATTTTCAGAAAAATAACTGACTGTTAAGCCTTACCTGTTATCTATGAATCATGACTTTGAAAAAAGCTCCTAAACTTAAGGAACAATACACAAGTATTGTATATATTGTGTTGATTGATACACAACAACCAACTAAAGCTGAAATGGACAGAAAGTATGAAAAGAGAAGCTGTGGCAGGCGTGACAGATGATGATGGTGAGGCCCAAGAAGACTTGTGACTAAAATGGTGCTTTCTGTTGTGTAGAAATATTCTGACTTTAAAAGCTCAGATGGTAATCAAACAACAAAAGGTATTCTGCAAACTGTTGAGTACAGCTGAGGTGGTTACACCAGTAATTTGCTTCAAAACCTCTGCAAACATGTCTTGAAATATCAAGACTGTTTAGAATTAAAATCAGCACCCTCCATATCCTGGAAGAGCTTCAGGAGGACACTTGAGTCAAACATCCCTAACACACATATGTATGAAAAGAAAAATACAGTCAAATACTATGAGTGTACTTGTTAAAAATACCATGGTATATAGTTATGGTCATACCTCCTGGCACTACAAACAGCCTGGCAAAGAATCAGTTTTCCATCAAGTCTTCAGGCTCTTTGTTACCAGCAGCCTGTCAAACACTAATAATTTGAATCTTTCTGTAGATGAATCCAAGTAAAATACCAAAAATAAAACAATTTGACAGATAAAAAATCCTGGGCCTGAGCGTCCTCAGGACCACCAGGTGTATCAGCTGACTTCCTCTCCTGTTTTGTAATTTGTTCTTTAACTTTGAAACTCAATTTCCAAACAGTTTAATGTGATAAAAAACAAAGAGTGGATGGTTTGTCAATACTTTTGAGGAACTTTGCAGTAGATCTTCAGCTACATCAGATGTCAGGGTTCTCTCCCGTTTATCTACTAAATCCTACCAAGGAGACTGTTCTCCAAACAAACACTGGGATTTGATCATTTCCATAATCTGAATGTTTTACCCTCACATGGAGCAGGTTCACACAGCATGAGAGAAGCAAGAAGACAGGACTGTTTCCAGGCTACTCATTAGAGCGTGACGTTCAGGATCTAAACCCCACAGGGAGAATACAAGGTTACAGCACAAGTAAACTACAAGCTGCTTCTATTTCTGTCTCTCTCWCACACACACAGATATATCTGTGGYTCTGTGTTTAGTCTGGACTGAACAGCCCACAGATACAGGCTGTTTTACAGAAACAGTTTATCGTCTGTGTTGTGTGTCTGTGTTCACACACACAAACACACAGGAAAGACAAGCTCTTTAATGTCAAGTCAACTCTATAAACCTAATAAATTTTCACTTTTGGCTCCATTTCTAGCATCTGCATCCACATAAAACCCAGGTGAGACTGAAGACACGTTCATCAGAAAAATGCATAAAACTTCTGAAGATGGAACTTGTGCATTTTTTAAAATTATAATTTCATCGCTGTCATTAGAGATGAAAGAGTTACAACCAGAACAAATTATSTGCTGAAGCCAGAAGGTCGTCCTACCTGCTGGTTTCCACAGTGATGGGACTGGGTGGGACGTCGCCTCCTCCTGATGAGACGATGTTAGTTAGAGTAACAACGTTCTCAGAGTCTCCTCCTCGCTCCTTCTTGCTGATGGAGCGACTCGCCTCCGGAGACCACTCCTGCAACAAACACACGTCCTCGAATTTGCATCAAACTGAGGACTTTGTATTGACTTCTATTCATTTTTGTAACTGTATTCATGTCTAACCCAGAGATTTTCCTGAAAATCAACCATTACTGGTCTATAGTTAACTCTAACCTGAACTTTATTCACACCAAACCTCTAAACCTAACTAGTAAAGCACAGCAGAGCTGCAAACAAAGTGAGGACATTGAAGAGGTCCTCACTTTACATCAAAGGCCTCACTTTGATAGTAACTCTGGTGCAAATAGTCCTCACTCTGTAGTAAAAACAAGTACACACACACACTTACATCTGTAGCCTACATTTTAGCCCATCCCAAAAATCAWACATCATTGGTCTCTTTAAAGGGATCCCTGATTAGTTGTAACATTAGACTTTTTGATAAATATTTATTTTAACTGTAAAATAAAGACTGTAAAAATACTGTAGGCTGTTTAGTTTTTATCATTTTTAAGCTTTTTTAAAATCTATTACACAGACTGAGCCATTTTATTACTTATTCAGTACGCAAAGCATTCTGGGTAAATGACGACATGGATAGGTCCTCTGTGTGAGTGCGCTATATCCACGCTGAAGGTTAATCTTGGACAATATCTGACGATTGACTCTTTTAAATGAAACCAGAGAGCGTTGACAGAGAGGAGAAGGTAGAAATGACTCAGTCTGTAACTGAAAATATGGATGGAGGACAACAGTTTAGCTTGTTTGTTGCACTAGTGCCAAGCTAATACATACAAGTCTTTTCCAGGGAAAAAAATGATCTTAAAATTATTAAACTGTAACACTAATGTTCTCATTTGACCATAATATACAATCAGAAGAAATCCTAACAGCTGCAGTACTGATACATATACAAAACATTTACTCTAACAATATCTTGTTTACAATAGAAACTGCATTCACAATTAAAACAGGATAATAAAAATTTAGACCTAGCTAAAAATAATTAAACTTTTATCAAAACAATAAAAAAAGAAAAACCAGATGAAACGATGTATTTGTCTTTAAACATCCTAGATTAATCACTTTAAGCAAGTTTTTAAACTAATTAAGTTGAATTTTCTTTATGTAAACATTAAATTGGACACAGATCCTCAAGCACTAAACGCCTGACGTAAGGAGAGGGAGCAGGTTGCTGAAAAACTGGCTCAGGATGAGGTTACAGAGATATTTCATGTCAGAGAGGAACTCTGCACAAGAGGTGTGTTCAATGACCTCAATGTCCCCGTGGGTGTGGACACAACTCTCTGAACACCAACAGATTTGTTAAAGAGACAGAATAAATATTTCCTCAAAACTCAGAGCGGCTGACAGCACGTCAGACTGGACGTTCAGACAAGGATGAAGAACGCTGATAAAGTCCTCAGAGTGACCTACGTATGTNGTGTGTGTGTGTGTGTGTGTGTGTGTGTGTGTGTGTGTGTGTGTGTGTGTGTGTGTGTGAGGGATGGGAACAATGAGACTCTGTGTGTTAGCAGCTCTGTGGGAACGCCAGGAGATTCCTCCGAGGACAGAGACATGTTTCTGCCAACTTCTTCCTCTGACTGGAAAGAAAACTAAAGCGGCCAATAAAATTTAAAAGCTCTCATTATGAGTTTGCTACAGCAAAGAAAGCATTCTCACATATCTTTAAACAAACCAAACAACAAACAGAAATATATAAGAGGAATCTAATGAGTTAGTCAACACGTAAAACCACCAAAACATCTTTTACATCCATGACATCATGCTGAAAGTTAGCCATGCTTATAAGGATCATAAAGTTGTCTCACTAAAACGAACGTTTGCAACAATCTTTTGCCTGCAAGACATTTTTGACCTCAGCCCTGTCCTCACAAACATGGATACTTTATATAAATCTGTTCCTGCTGTGGTTGTTGGTCTCAGCCACATGCAAACAGCAGATAAAGTGCAGTTTTAACACAGGAGCATAAGACAGCAGAAAAATGTATAATTTAGCTTCACTGATTCAGGCTTTTTCCACTGTTATCTAATTCCAGTAGGAATGCAAACAATTTATCAACTTGTGATTAATTTTCAAATCATGTTTTATTAGATTAAAATCTGTTTACAATGGATTAACTGATAACGGCAACCGGCTCATCACACACTCTATTTAACCTTATTTCTGAGACTCTGTTTTAATTTGAGTCAAAAGTAGAGACTTCAAACTTTAAATCAGTTTTTAAATTGTGTTGTTAGGCAAAGTAGAACCAGAGTTATGATAAATAGTATACGTCGCATTTTAATTTCTGAAAACAATGGTCTGATTTGTTGGAAATTACGTCTGGTTGCAAAAGAAAAGCACCTCAACCCACTGTCAGTTTTATCCTTCTCTTGAGCCGAAAATATATGAAAAAAAAACCTCTAATCTTTTTTCCTGACTGAGGCCCAAAGCTACAGGACGGAGAAAGAAAAAAAAAAGACACTGGCAGCACTCGGAGGTCTGACTCAGTAGGGGAGGGAGGGGGACCTGCACCAGAACCTCGCTGGGCTAACAGAACCAAGGATCAGTTCTGAGCTCTAGAAAACAGAGTAGGACGTTTATGTTCCAGCCTCAGAGAACAGTCCAGGTAGACCCACTTTCCTCTCAGAGTTAAATAAATAAATAATATAAAACAAATAATCTGTTGTTTCAGTCACAGAGAGAACCAAGAAGAAGGCAGCAAAAAGTAAAGAATCAGAGAAAAATCAAATTCTAATGGTGCGTTCACACCGAACGCGATTTCAGCGTCAGGAGCAGCAGGTTTACAKDCAAAGTCTATGGTGGACGCGCTTCAAGCAATGTCGGGAAGTTCTGCGGCGCCTCAAGCGCGATTAGAGCAGCGCGATTTGAACGATTTGAACGATCTGAGCGTTCGCTGAAGTTAGAAAATCTGAACTTTTGCAGCTCGACGCGCCACATCAACCAATCAGAG